CCCTTAGCTTTTTCTTCTGTGCATTTAAAAAAAGACAGATGTTCCCACTGAGCACAGCGTGCCGGCAGTGAAAGCACAAGAGTCGTTTACAGATGTAACAGCCGAAAAGAGCCGCCACAGAGAGAAGAGAGAAGGCAAAGAGCCTTTGGTTGGGCCAGGGCTGTGAGCACCCCTTGTGAGGCAAAAGGTATGCTCAGTGCTGAAACGTTAGATAGAGAGATGGAAAGGAAAGGAAAGGAAAGGAAAGGAAAGGAAAGGAAAGGAAAGGAAAGGAAAAGAGAGAAGAGAGAAGGCAAAGAGCCTTTGGTTGGGCCAGGGCTGTGAGCACCCCTTGTGAGGCAAAAGGTATGCTCAGTGATGGAAAGGAAAGGAAAGGAAAGGAAAGGAAAGGAAAGGAAAGGAAAGGAAAGGAAAGGAAAGGAAAGGAAAGGAAAGGAAAGGAAAGGAAAGGAAAGGAAAGGAAGAAAAAGAATGAAAAAGAAAGAGAGAGGAGGGAGGGAAGAAAGAGAGCGGAGGGAGGGAAAAGTAAATTTTCTGTATACTAAAGCAGACAAACTGGATGGCAGAAGAAATGCATTAGTTATATGTTCCCAGGGGCTTGGAACATGGAGTCTCTGTTAACAGTTTCCATATTTTGCAGGATTATTAAAAAAAAAGAAAAGGAAAGGAAAGCAAGTTGGCTACATGAAGCGAAATAGACTAAATATGAAGACTCTTAATTATCTGGAGGATTAATATTATTTACTGTGGGTTCAGCTCACACATTTGGAGATAATCACTGTGTAAGAGATTTCTCAGTGCGACAGAGGCAACTTAGGTTCTGCCTGGGTTGCCTGGAACATACCCGCTGTCAGAAGGGCTTGTTAAAAATCAACATTTACCAAAAAAAAAGCAGTGTTGCCTGTAGCAGTAACCTCTGTTACTCACCAAACAAGGACCTGGTGACTGCCATGGGCACCAGTCCCTCAGCAAGTGAGGAAATTCAGCCTTTGCGTGCTGCTGCTGCTCAGCTCGTTGGAGGGTAGGACAAGTGCCCAGCCGCTGGTGCGGGCTGCCCTGCTCGGCATGGCTGATGCCTGCGGTTATTAGGATGTGAAATACAGTTCTGAGGTCAGCTGCTGGCTCAGCACTAAGCAGCTTTCGGCGATTATATACGAGCATAAGCCTGGTGCGGCTAGATCAAACATTGAGAAGTTTACACAGTCACCATCCGCTCTCCTTTTCACTCTGAGGGTACTCTCGCACTCATACAGAGCGCAGGCTTTGGAGGTTTCCTGCCATCTTCCTATCCCCTTGGCAATTAGGTTTTATTTTTATGTGTTTTTATTTGTTTTTCTATTTATTCCCAGGGTTGAAAGCTCTGCCACATGCTTCTCTGTGCTCTGAGTAACCCTGAACACAAAAGAGCCAGGAATAACTCCTTTGCTGCACTGTCAGTGCTTGATACAGTCAATTCTTTCATCTACTTGGTGCAGCAATCAAAGGCAACAGAAAGCAATGAGCCAGGTAGCTGGTGGCAGAGGGAGAAGCGACATCTGAAAGACTATCACAATTCGGGTAACCTCCAGCGGCCAACGTGCATTTCAGACCCTCTGTGCTGTGGGTCTCTGCCCAGAGCCATCGGCGGTCCCCACCGTCCCCTGGCAGAGCTGGCTCTCCCTGCCCACGCGCTGCCGCAAGCCACCGCCCAGGGCTCCCACAGTCTGCCAGCTGCAAGAAACGACACTGAGCGTTGCTCAACCTTTTCAGTGCCCAGATCCAGAAAAAGACTTCAGTAGTCTGCAATAGGCAGGACATCAGCACCTAATCCCACTCTTATCCTGAAAGGTTGTAGACGCCCGTGCCTATTAAGTGTTCAAAACCAGCTATTGCACACACCCAGAGCTGTCACTATCGCAGAAAGCATCTCCCATGCAAGCTCACTTGTGCTTTTTTTATCATTCTGGATGTTGACAGGTAGTATAAAACCTGGTGTCTGTAACCTCTGCAGCATAAAAGAGGCTGGTTTCACTCTTTCACTTTTTGATGAGACTATCCTACTCACCAGACTGTAGACCGGGTTGAACCTGTTCTGCTTTGCAGGAAGCAGTGGCTGAGGCTTGGGTCCGGGCACTGTCCTCACAGCCACTCTGGCCCTTTTGCATGGAAGAGTCACCAGAATAAATGCAGGACCAGCTGCAGAACTTTTCTCTCAGGTGAGAACCTGAAGCACCAAGCTGGACAGCCACATATCCCAGCCTAACGGATTTGTATGCTTTGCTGAACATCAGCCCAAGTGCAGCGTAATAGGGAAGAGAAGACTCCCCTCTGGCCTGCCGGGAGGTGGAAGTGAGAGGTTCCAGAGAACCTCTCTGTCCTCTGTGAACACTTGCTAGAGAAAAGCAGAGTAGGAAGAGCATCGCCACGTCTTGTTTGAAAAATTAGGTGCTTTTCTGCTGTGAAGAACAGCTTCAGCACTTCTCCCTGGGAGGTTCGAAGATGTAAACTGCCATCACTCCTTGACCCCTACCTCCAGGCTGCGGGGTACCTGTGTGTCTGAGCTGTAGAGGGTTTCAGCACACCCCAGGCACTGCCCACCTCCCTCTTCAGCATCCTGGCTGCAGATCTCCTAACCTGGTGCTGCAGACAAATGGGATGAAAAAAGTGGACTCCTACTGCCCCCTCACTCCAGTGCCTGCACTGCATCTGGTTAGTCATGCACTGGAGCAAAGGGAAGAACTGGTATTTTTTTTTCATCCCTATCATCAGATGGGGATAACAGTAAGTAAACAATTCCCAAGTGCTTGTGAGAGCGTCTGTACAACATTGCCTCGAATGAGCACTGAATACAATTCACACTTACTGAACAACTCCAGTTTGCATTTACTCATTCCACAAAAAGCGTATCTGAGGGAAAGCTTACAGGAAGTAGGCTTTACAGGAGTGATGCAGAACAGAATAGCTACTTTTGTGGGGTAAGAGCTGTGCTGAGGTTTAATTTGAGAAGTGTCTTGCTCTGCAGATGAAGTCACTCTTTTAAATGTTCACAGAGGAGTTCAACCTTTCACTTCTGCTTCCTAGAAGACCATGGCAGGCCAGATAGGAGTTTTCTCTTCGCCATTCTGCTGCACCTAAGCTGATGTTCAGCAGAGCATACCAAGCATGGTGGCTCTCCTTTTTTAAAGGGGTTTATATGCTAGAATCAAGTCACCAGTAAGACAAGTTATTCCTTTTTATGCATTCCTTTTAAATACCTCTCCTAACCCCCACTCCATCTGAAGCCTTCATCTAGCTTCTGTAATAGCCTTTGGGAACTAGTCTTTCCTGGAAAATGAATTCAATGCTGTTAACTTTGCAAAGGTGCCACGTCAGATAAGGGCTTGCATGAACTATTTCACAGCTACTTAACTACTAGGTTTTACAGAGCCAAGTTTTAAGGTATTTTGGGCATTCTCAGCTCTTAGTAACTGGGTTAACGTATATGGAAGCAAGATTAATTTTTATTAGCTTGAAGTATCATATTTTATTCAAATGATAAGAAATATCATAATACATTATGCATCTGCCAGTTATAGTCCATTTTAGTTGGTTCCAAAACCTAAGCAGTAAAGGAATAAGACAGTTTATCTAGTTAAACTGAAAAAACAGCATTCCATACAACCAGTACTGGAGATGTCAACCGTATAGTAATTCCAGCATTACATTGTTATGGCTTTCCAGAAAGTCATGAAGTTAACAAATTAGAACACATCAAGAGCCATTTTCCAAAGATTTATTGAAGTAGCGACAGGTTGCTCATACTGTGCTGGAAAAAGCAGTTTTATTGAATTCAGATACTTAAAAACAGTATTGCAGCACAAGATATTGCTATTTGTAAACTAGACTCCATTGTAAACTCTAATCTTTCAGGGAGAGTCAGTTTGCAAGATCTAAGACCTATTTCCTAGCATAATAATCTTGCGCTCATGGAAAAACTGCAGAAAGGCACTTGAAAGCTGTTTCTTCCTTTAAGACATGGACTTTTAAATCTTGCTGGTAAGAATTTCTCCTGCATTAATAAGTATGCATCTTCACTTCAGCTTTACTCCAAGTCATCATGATGCTGGGAAGTTTCATTAATAACCTGTTGAAAAACAGAGACACTTGCATTAAGTTTTAGTAGTAAGATTGTTGGTTTTTTAAGAGTTAGAATTGGAACATCCAGCACCACCGAAATGTGAACAAATGGTATCAAGTCTCACAAATGAGAGGTTCTAGTTGGTAAATAGTGTGCAGAAACCATTTAAGCTTTACTGACTTAGTCTGAAAACAGTATCTTGTCCCAAACAAGGACCTCTGTTTACTGCCACATGTTTTTCCCAAGTGATGTGAGAAATCTGCTAACTCAGCTGAACTTAAATACTCACTACACAGGTAACCGTCAGCCACTTAAGGTTTTACTATCAGATAAATTTTGTGATCATTTCCACAGAAGCCTGTTTGTTACACCTGTATGTTCAGCCATGTAGCTCAGACTGCCAGATGCTGTTCTGCTCAATATTTACTATCATATATAGGCTGCACTGACCAATAGACAAACTTAGAGTATTTTAAGGTAACCAGCTGTTGACAGAAATAAAAATCAAAGTTACCACCAACCTGTCCATCTCTAGTTTCGACAGTCTTAATTAGAAGTGTCCTCTTTGAATGAGTGTCAACCATTGGCTGAGACTCAATGTTGGTTTCTGCAGAAGAAAATGTATTATTACCAATAGTCGAAATGAAGTGCCTCCTCAAAGATGTGAAGTATAACAGATTTTAGTGTCTACTTTCAGAATCCCAATTAGTATATGAAGTAGTCTCCTGCTCTGAATGATAAGCTAATCTTCTCCATTATCTCCTTATTTCCCTTAAAGCACCTTCAGCAGGCATCTAAACCAATCACTCACAATATACTGGTATTTTAAAATATCTGTGCCCAGGCACAAAGTAGCTCCTCCCATCCAAGGTTAAATAATTGCAAATATTGTAGTTATATCTAAGAATGACATTCACAGGCAACTGCATTTATACAAGTTTAAATACTAGAGTAAAAGGAACTATCCAGGACCCTTTTGCTAATGACAGAACAGCTGTCTAAACTGAAGTAGCAGAAACAGCTTACCTCTCAGGTTCAAAGAAGCAAAGGTTGGAATAGGCATGTTAATCCTGAAGGAAAAAAAGAAATGGATAAAGTCAGACATGGGTATAGAGTTTCTTCTAGTAACTGCCGTTTAGAAAAGCATCTGCATGTGATTTTTACCTGCTCTCTTCACCCTCCAGCAGTTTTCTGTAGGTGGCAATCTCAATATCAAGAGCCATCTTTACATTCAGCAGGTCCTGGTACTCGCGGAGATGGCGAGCCATTTCTTCCTTCATGTTCTGAATCTCATCCTGCAGACGGCCAATAGTGTCTTGGTAGTTAGCAGCTTCAACAGCAAAATTCTCCTCCATTTCACGCATCTGGCGCTCCAGGGATTCGTTCTGGAAGAGAATAATGAAGTCAAGCACTGCTGCAGTTCAGCCACTCTTCCCCACCCTCAAAGTCCTTAAAATTTTAAAAAAAAAAAAAAAAGGGAAGTTGAGCTACATTAGCATCCTTTCTGAAAGTGCCCAGACGTGTCCCAAATTTGTCATTTTCTTATCTTCCCCTTGCAAAGTCAAAGTGGGTTATTCTGCTACTTGATCTGAGGTGTGCTATGTATTTGTTCTACCAGGTGGCAAAGCAATCCCTTACAGCAAGTCCAACGCATGCAGTACAAGTCAGCATGCAGGCAGCCCTCAGTGAGGGGATTTGCAGGTGTACTACACGCTGTTAAGTCCATTTCAAGCCAGCCTTTAAGGCAGTCAGGTTCTAGCAACAGCAAGATTTGCACCTCCTTTCTACTTCTCCTCCAGCTTTTTATATAGCTTCAGCTGTACCTGACAGACAAGCCATAAACACTTCCAGAAAGTGTTACATAAACAGTGACTATTATAGTAAGAGAATCAACTCATTGTTTATACCTTAAGTAAGACTAGTTCAGTACATCAATCTAACCACTGTACTGTAGTGCATGCAGGCAAATTGAGCCCATAGCATCCTTTTCAAAAAGTAGATATGTTGCTCTATTACATGGGAGATCAGCTGCATTCACATCTATATCAAAAACTAAACTGCAGTGCAGTGATTAAAGCTGCAAAGGGAAGAATGTCCCAACAACTGCTGTCTTGTACTTACGCTTCCCTTAAGGGCATCAACTTCGCAGGTGAGAGACTGAATCTGTCTGCGGTATTCATTAGCTTCTTGTTTGGCCTGGCGCAGGGCATCGTTGTTCCTATTAGCAGCTTCAGAGAGATCTGCAAACTGCGGAAATCCCCAGTTTTGTTAGTGCAACGCTTCAACAGAAATGGTATAACAGACTTTTTTTTGACACAGCATTTGAGGGCAACTGAAACCATTACAAGTCTTAACACCTGAAACATTTAAGTATTAGCATTACTCTTAAAATGCCTTTCTATTTCTAATTGTTAAATTGGAATTCATAGCTAAACCTTTCCTATTTGTTTCCCCACCTTGTATGTTTCCCATCTTTTCATCGTTTTTTCACCCATTCATTCACTCCTTTCTCCAGTATTTCATCCAACATCTGCTTCCAGGTACAAGCATAGGAAAGACTCCAAGTATGAGCCCATTACTTTGATGCTGTACTTATGGCACAAAGTAATGTTTTCAGCTGTACTCTTCCCAGACTAGGAGTTTAAAGAAGACCCTGTGCCATGGCTGTATTCGTGTCCAGTAGAGAGACGGAGGGAACACACAGAGTGCTACAGCAAAGCTGTTACCTACAGTTAGTTGGAGTGCCTGGGGCACCTGAACAGATTTTACTTACTTTGGACTTGTACCACTCTTCAGCTTCCTGAAGATTCTTAGCAGCAACGCTTTCATACTGTTGGCGAACGTCACGCAGGGCAGCAGTAAGATCAGGCTTAGAAACATCCATATCAATTTGGATGTGCTGTTCCTGGAGTTGGGCCTGCAGTTCTCGGATTTCCTTAGAGAGAAGCAGATACTCGATGTTATTACACGACAACATACAGAACACACATGGGTGGGGAATCTGGGCCAGAACCAGTGAAGAGCTTACTTGCTCGCTAGACTGTCAACATCTAACCACAGACCTCATTATTCAGCTTACCTCATCATGAAGCTTCTTCAAGAAGACAATCTCCTCTTGCAGGGACTCAACTTTGCGCTCAAGATCAAGACGTGCCAGAGAGGCATTGTCAACATCCTGACCAGAGAGAAGAATTATTAGCAATCTTACAAGACTGTGATGTAGAGAAGTCTTTTACAGCAAGTTCAGTAGCATACGGACCGATGCTACATCTGAGCTTTTTGGCAAGACAATATGAAATCAAGAGCTGTGAAAAACCTCTTTTTGCCACCTCCTACCCTAGCCTCAGAGACCACTATATGCACCTTTATTAAGATTTTGGGAACTATACAGCATATGTAGATTACTTCATCTTTGCCAACGTATTGCTAAGCATGGTTGTGAGCACACAGATTGTGGTAGGTGTAGATCCTGCTTAAAGACGAAGCAGGTACTTGGGTCAGAAGCCAGCGATAAGCTCTTTTAGCTTGACTACACTGGAAAAGTGTTATTCCTGCAATTTGCAGACTTCCATTTTTTTCCAGTGGGGCTTAGAAGTGCAACCCATGTGCCTACATGCCTATCAGTGAGCTTAATTTCTTGTTTATTTCTTATGGTCTCCTTGGTGATCAACCACAGAGCCCTTTGGGTCCACAGACCACAGGTTGAAAGCATACTTGTAAAGCTAGTGAGGTGCGTATAAGAACTGCAAGCATTTACTTCTCGAAGCAGTCCAACAGATCTCCTTTGAGAAAAAGAAGGTATGAGCATAAACGCAAATCGAGTTAGTCACCATTGCCTACACCCTCACAGTAGCTGGCAAAGACTCCACCTTTTGCTAGACGGAGATAGTCTTAATCAACAGCAAAAATTCATTTAAGGCATAACGGGAGATATGCCATGAATGTTACATGAGAGCAGCTTGAATTAGTTCAAAAACATAACTTAAGACTAAACATTGATTGGTAACTTCTTACATTTCAAATGTGCAAGACAATTTATTTGGAAAGGGGACAATTGTTCCTTTCATACTAGTTACATACAGAGGTGCATGCTTATGTTCACATGGTATTAACGCATCAGGTTTTCACAGCTTACTCTAAAGCTATTTTGGATTGCCCAAAGCGTAAGCATTCCTAATCAGCAGTTCTCACTATTACGGCACCTCTGAAATAAGGAATGTTTCCTTTAGACTCCTAGAAAGCCATTCCTGGGATTACTCCTACTCTGGGGTAAGGTTCTTGCTCCAGAAAAATTCTATCTTCTTTATCCAGCAGAACACCCCTTTGATGTGTTATCCCATAACTTCACTATCAACTCCAGTTTTACAACCACACAGTTCATATCGGCTCTGTTTTTAAATTTGGAGAAAGAATTCCTTAATTCATTTGTTCTCCTCCCCCCAAAAAAGTTGGAAGATCATTCTGAAAGGAAATTACACAGCTATGACTTAACATGTTTACACCATTAGACAGACATCCAAAGAGTTTCCAGTGGATTTTACAGAAATCTGCATCCTGAAGACTATTAATTTTTTCAGGACAACTGAACAGCTACAGGATTTTTTTAGGAGCTTATAATAAATTGAAAGCATCTTAAATTGAAGACACTTAGAATAAACTGTATGTATTTTACTATTTATGGTATCATTAAGTTAAGGAGTGAAGAATCCGTGTATCTGTATTTCCTAGATGTATGGAGAACCACCATAAATAAGCTACCTGTAGCCTGAGCAAACAAAGTGTAAGGTATACATAAATGCCATTGGACTATGCATTGATTTTATCCTAGGAGATTCTTTAATGCCAGTCACGTAGTTTGGAGGGTTGAGCATCCATGTTTACTTCAGACAAACCTTACATTAGCCAGGAGCAGACCTGTTAGTTTTGTCATAGGTTCAGGATCTATTCCTTGCTGCTAGAGTAGCTGGCAAAGCTGCAGTAAATAACTTTCTCACTAACTGTGATGCTTGTTTTGTCCCAGAGGAAAGAACTCACTGAACCTTTAGGTTTATTTTATGTAGTACACCCCTCAGCATATGAGTAAAATCACATGTCTTTGCTCAGGAGAAGAATTAAATTGAAATTCAGTACATCGGAGTTGAACAGTCTCTAAAGCAGGCAGCTTTTGGAAATATAAAGTTTAAGTTCAAGTATTTGTTCACTTTCTTTTAAAATACTGAAGTATTCAACTTCTCCATCAAGTAAAAAAGTAAATTTGATGCTACATCAGTACAGTAAAGTATCTGCTGAAGTGTTCCGAATCCATGTACACAACTTTCCAGTGCAAGAATATAATAGTTTAATAAAAAGTTGTCCATTTTTTTACAATGGAAAGCACAACAGGATGTTTCAACTTCAGTGTTCTATGAATTTAATTTCACTTGCAGGAGAACAATACTTATACTGAAACACATTTAGTTTTCAAAACCTGCATGTTAAGCCAACCCTTTCATGGTAAGGAAAAATTAGGTGTTACTGTGGTTCAAATCAAACACCAGCATGCACCAGTTATGTCATGAGTGGATTTAGTGTCGTGTTTCCACAGACAATGATTTGCAATTCTTATGCATAAGCTATACCTTGAGAGGTTAAATGGATCCAGTTCTAACTGTACTGCACACACAGATCTGCTAGAGGCTGAGATCTGAACGACCCCTTTCCACAGTGCAGGGAAGAGCTGGATAATGAATGTGGGATATGCACAAAGCCAAGTTCACCTAAAAGCCTAGAGCCTTCATGAAGTTTAATTGGTTTTAAATAGAGGTAGACATGCCTTGAAGTGCACCAATTAAGTATGAAAGATCATTTAAGCGAGCCTTAAGTCAAAGGATCCTTCAAATTAATTCAGCAATGAATCAGAATAGATTAGGTTCTCTAAAACTTAACTTAAATGCTTCTGTACAGAACTTCACAGTATGTTAAACTGGCTTAGCATTAACCAGAAGCTTAAGTTAAAGCAGTGTCTTGAACTGTTCTGTTCTGAACTTCTGTGCCCAGAACTCCAGCAGAGACTCTGAATTCCCAGACTCCGAATGGGAGTAGGTGTCTCGGTTTCCACATGTTATCTCATGAAGACACCTGCTCTCCTTCAGAGACTATAAACATACTGTAGTCAAAAGCCTTGCCCAGGGAAACACTGACAATCAAGTGATGATTTCCTGAATGGTGACATCTACTAATGCCTATGAAGAGCTTCGGGACGAAGTCGGCCTGTGCCCAGCTGTCTGGAGATAAGGGCAGTCACTTCCAGCCGGGAGGAATGCTAGCAATGCCGTGTCACACCAGCAGTTTTAGGGAAGAGACCTTGTTTTGAGAAGGCACATTCCTAAATATCTCGTAGTCCAAACAAGGCTTAATCCAAGTTGAAAGCTGGTTTTGCACAAGTGAAAACCTGAGCTTAATACTTTTTGAGCACTGCTTGCACAGTTGGTTCTGGCTGTCATATAAGTTTAGTTTATCTGGATAATACTGTAGCACCCTAGAGACTAACGCAACTTGTTTCCTATGTTAACATCTTCGTTTACAGAGGATTAAATTCTAAGTTCTTAACGGACATCCAGAGGAGGCAGACTTGACTGCTGCGACCTCGCCCCAAGGAACAAATTGTCTACTTTTTGTGAGCAGACAACACCCATATGAAAAATTTTAAATTTGAAACTGTTGTCTAGTAATGCACTGACCAAAGTGATTCATTAAAAAGGAGCTCTGTTTTGTATAAAAACTGGACCATATACATGATAGGCACTTTTCCCTAGAAATATGCCTGCACCATTACACATTTAGTAAGAATGCAGCCCACTGCGCCCTCCCCTCCGACACAAAGGGATCTATTATTTCAATCTGCTGCCACCACACTTGCCATAATGTCTGTATCTGCATTCCACGGTGAATCCCATAGAAACCACTAATACCCTTCAGCCAAGCGAGCAGATGGCCCCTTTTCACTTTTATTGGATCGGAAAGCGATTCCACGTTGGAGCGCTTTTTGTAAAACAGGCTAGACTTGGATAAAGCAAGACAATGGTTTCCCTCCCCTCCCCTCAGACTGCAGCATCCCCCTAAAGAAAACAAGTAGGGTTTGCGTGAGAACGGATGGAATTCCTTTGTGCGAGGAAAGCAAACTCCTGCAGTCCCATCCTCCCGCCCCAGGCACCACCACCGCCGCCTCAGGCTCTCCTCTCCCGCAGCTCCCTCCCCCCAGCCCCCGCAAACCTGTCTGAAGGACTGCAGGGTGTTCTCGGCCTCCTCCCTCTGAAGCATCTCCTCTTGCAACCTGGAAGGGGCGAGACAGCGCTCAAGAGGGAGCAGGGGGTCCCCCCAAATC